GTTGAGCGACTTGGAGGCAAAGATGCAGAGGCAAGACTGAAAAGAGATTAATAGATATAGCAAAGGATGATATAGCAAACATGCAGAGGATTGCCCAAAGATGCCCTACCATTAATTACTGCTTCATTCTGAAATATGATCAACCTATCTCTAATAATCTGCTATGTACCACAGGCCTTCAAGCTGGCAATACTTAAACCATTACTTAAAAAGTCATCTCTGGTCCCCTTGTCAGTGGCACCTGCATGACCTGGGGCCGAGAGCTATATGCGAGCTGTCCTGGAACAACGGACGCCGGGGGGGCCAGGTGGCCGACTGCCAGACCAGCGTCGCCGGCCTCCGGAACAGCGTTGCCATCACCGCTGGAGACTTGGGCAGCCTCCGCAAGAGACACTGCCCTTTTTCCATAAAGAAGGTGATCCACTCAACATAAAAGCATGCACCAGCATTGTGTGCTTGATAAAAATCAGAGCACATAGCAACTTTTGAGAACAGTTGATGATTAGATAAAGAATTGTGTCAAACCTATCAGTTCATAAAAGATTGGTGATGTATTTAACCGTTGTAACAGTGGCATACCCATTCATACATGTAATCAAAGCAGGACATGGAAACTCACTTTACCTTTATATTATGATCTTCTCTTCTCGTAGAGCCAAGTTTAAAGTGCTTGTTTACATCCTCAGTTATCTTGTCTTATCTTGAATGAGATGATACCTTATATGCAGCAGATATATTATTTCACATTGGTCACTTCCAACTTAGGCCCATGATGCCCAGATAAAAAGTTGCGGAACAGCGTGACAAAACTTGCTTATAAACCATGCATGTATATTAAGAAGTCCCAGATGTCAAAAGTCCAGCTGATAACATAAACTCATATATTCTTTATGCTTTTATAGAGGCTATTTCACTTGTCCAGACAATAGTTTTTCAAAGTAGAGATGATTTTTTAAATATCACAAAACATGTGAAATACATGAAATTTGAAAATATTTGTAAAACGATGAAGTAGCACTAGATGGTGATGTTAAAAATGCTGAATGACATATGTTACCTTGATGATAATGATGATGATGAATTTCCATTAAAGGAGATTATGTTTTCATATAAGCTAATTTGTTCGGTGAATTCTGGAAACAGCATGTAATGCAGACATGACAACACAAACTGCGTTGTTGCTTGTTGTCATTGACTGAACCATGGGCCATACTTTGGTCTGGTGATTGTAAAGCACAGTGAGATTGTTATATAGACAGGACTTTTGTATCCTTGAGGCAATCTAGAGTTAAATCTGACACCGTAAAACTATGTCAGATTTTAGTACAGATTCCACGATCATGGTCGTGTTATGAAAATGTCATGTTTAGGCTTCTATTTTATTCCTGTCGTATTTGTAACACTTCAGTGAGTTAACAAATTATTTTATATCTATTTCTAAAGGGACGATGTGTGTCAAATATGCCCTGGCTTATTGTTGATATGTCTTCACACATTAATTCTAAATTTAAAAAAAAATCAAATGTTTAAATTAATTTCATTTTGACAAATGATTTATTTAAGCATATACCTTTTGCAAGAAATTGGATTCCACACATTTTTAAATAACAATAATGATAAAATGAATCATGTTTTATTAAACTGTTTATTTTAAATACATTATATTGCAAAAAAGTTCATATTTCAGCCTGTTACTTTTCCATTGCTTTTTTGTATGCAAATGCTAAGTGAGATTTATGGAAACAGTTCAGTACAAGTTAAAAAATATAAGGTACAAGAGCTCAGACTTTGGTGTCCATGGGGTTCATTTGCCCTTTTTCCTCATAGGTTAAGGGGGCTTCTACACTGGAAAAGTCAGATGGCAGCTCAAAGAAAAGCTCATCATTGAAGCAGTTCTTATCAGATGGAGATGCCAAGGAGGGAAACTTCATGACCAGCCCAGTGAGCAGACCACCAACTGTAGAGGCTCCGATGGTGGTAAAGACAGCCGCAACCTGGTACAGCGCTTGCTCCCGTGCAGTGCGTCCCAAGCCTGGCTTCAGTCCAGGAATCACCTTCTGCAGTTCTAGCAGCTGTGGATCTCCTTCGGGTGGAGCACGGTGGGAAAAGATCTGGTACATGCTGGGCCCGTAGGTTTCCTCAGTGGCGAGAAGGATGGCGCAGATCCCTGCTGTGGCCGATATGATGCCAGTCAGTCCGTGCAGGTTGTGAATACCACACTGGTCTTGGATCTTCATGCGATAAGCCATAAAGGGGGTCAGGTACTTGTAACCAAAGAAACAGGCAGTACAGCCCATGACGCCCAGTGCATATGCAGCTACAGGTGAAATCATCATGTCCACAGAAGCTCCAACTGTCACACCGCCTGCTAGAGTCACATTTTGGATATCAGCCATCGTGAGCTTGCCTCTCTTATTGAATAGTGCAGAGAGTGCAAAGGCAGTGATAGTGGATGAGGAGAGACCTATGAAGGTGTGGAGTATTGCTCTGTGCTGATCATCGCCTTTAAATGTAAGCGCAGAGTTGAATGAAGGCCAGAATACCCAGAGGAACAGGGTTCCCATTACAGACAGGATATCTGAATGATAACTAGTGATCTCTTTAGCATGTCCATCATTCAAACTTGGCCGATAGAGCATAAATGTCACTCCTAGACCAAAATAGCAGGCAAATATGTGGATAAGAATAGTGCCGCCTGCATCATTGATCCTAATGTATTGGAGTACAGCCCACTCTGTCACAGCAAATATAGGAATCTCAAGAGAAGCCATGACCAGTAGCTGAACGGGACTGGTCTTCCCAAGCACAGCCCCGAAGGAGATGAGCACCACAGCACAGGCAAACTCTGCATTCACCAGGTTGATCACCCCCAGGTGAATTTTCCCATCATAGTAAAACTGGAAGAACCCTTGCATCAGGATTGCCCACTGGATTGCAAATGTAGCTGTGAGAAAGTTGAAGACCATCCCGCCAAAGCCGTAGAATCTGAAAAAAGCCAGCAGGCAACCGAAGCCTATGAAGATCATCACTTGCACATCAGCAAAGTAGGGGTAGTCGCGATAGAGGGAGTTCTCCATGGGGCTGGTCTCATTGTTTTGCAGCTTTGCGTTGGTATCGTCATCATAAGTGACAAAGACAGCATAAAGAGCTATGATGATCACCTCAAACACTAACACAAACACTGGCAGGCTCACTTTCAAACTCACTGAGTCCTTCATGTTGATGCTCAGTATCCAGACTGCGACTCCTCTTGCTACAGCAACACCCCTTTTGTACTTTTCTCTTTTTTTTTAAAGATCAGATAAGAGCAGATAAAGGCATTGGTTAAAGAGAGTGAACACATGCAATGCAGTTATTTAATAGTGGATTGTTATTTAACAACTCGAGAGAACGATGTACTTTAATCCTTCACTGCTCACAACTGAGCTTATCTCTCCCCCTGTGGTTTTCCGTAACAAGTTCTGATTGGTATTAAATGTCTTTATTTTAAACTAATCATGCGGAAAAAGGAAACAGATATTAAAATCAAGTTAAGTATCACAATGTCATTTTTTTGTTATTAATTCTGATGGCAGGAACATTGTGGTTTATAGATTAAAATGACAAATGTACATGACCCGATGGCAAAAGTGATGAATTTAAAGTTTCAGGATATCGAATAGTTAATAATGCAAATAATCTTTACAGGCAATCCAGTGTAGCTAAATGCATAGAAGCCAATGTACAGCTTGTAATGAATTAAGGGCCTGTGCTGTTGATCTATGGTGGAAAAAACATCTTTCTGCTATTGCTGCTATTGATGAATTTTAGATGAGTGTTTTAATTTCAGCAATGGATAATAATGGGCATCATTAATTAGAGTTAGGAGGCACAGTGTGGCTGGCACTTTTTAAATATAGATACAATTCAAATAGTTTTACATGACAGAGTGGGAAGGTGACACAATCATGAACTGTCACACTTTTATCACTTAAATACAGCACAGCCATTTAAAGCAGTCACTGTGGGCATTGTTAACTGTGTAAATCGTTTTTTTGGGGGAAAATTAAGTGCAATAAAAATAAGAATGTAAGAAAAGAAAGTGGTGGTATTTAATATTTAAATATTATAATATTATATTATATTATAATAATATTATAATAATCTATATTTAATTTTCTATATGTCATTATGGTTACTATTATTGTATATGTATATGATGTCATCCTTAGTTTAAAAATTCCAGATTTTATTTCAAATATGAAAATTCACAATTTTTCAGTCTTGGGATGTGATACTACTAAACACCTAATTAACAGCTGGAATAACAGGAATGACAAACTGTTATCACACTGAACCTGTTCAGCATTAGGAATATGTGTTGTGTCTGAAGCAAAAAAAGGAATTCTCTGATCAACATTAGAAAACAATCAGTTAGATCATAGTAAGACAAAGCAGTATTTCTCAATGTAAGCTATTCTGGAGTATGACAGGAGATATATAACATCATAATATCAATTAATTACTCCTGTTTTACATGCAGCTGTTCACTGTAGCAGAAAGTCTGTTTCTGATATTTATTGTGGATTCAGTAGAAAGCAATGAGAAAGAAGCCATTCACATATTTTGTTATTATAAACCTAATTCCATGTGGAGCACAAACTCGCATTTATCACTGAAATTGAAGTTCAGTTAATCAGAAAGACTCACATTGAATTTTGGGATATTATTTCAAGTATTTCAAGAAGTTGGTGTGCAGTTTTTAAGTGTTTTTTAATATGAGTTTCTAAGTTTGCTGCTTGATAAGTCAGACAATGATAGCAGAGTGCTGAAATGTGACCTTATTTATTTATTTATTTACAAACTTTATTGTCGTCGTCGTGGTTGTGGACTGTGACTCAAAAAGAAAAAAAACCTCAAACCCCCACACACTCCAGTCCAGTAACAAGCAGCAATGAGCAGGTTAAAGGCGCCATTAAAATGCAAAAGAAGAAGAAGAATCACTCCCATAATGCATTGCATTGCCAACGTATGCAAACAGGAACATGGCTACCGGTGTTTAACATCAGCATTCTTGAAAAATTATCTTCTCCCTGACCGACATAGTCTGTGATACACCAGCTTTTGCTGATCCTCCGCGACAGGAGAAAGGTCGGAGTTTATCAGTAGACTTTGGAAACAGCTCCTCGCTTCTTCGTCGGTCACAGACAGGTAACGGGTCAGTTAGCTAGCTCCCGGTGAAGCTAACGCTACCAGTGCTGCTAATCTCGTCAGTTCATTTAAATGTTATCATCGCTGTCATCTCCTTTTGGAGACGGACTGTGAATCATTAGTCAAAGCAAGACGTGGAAAACACACCAGTATACTTTTATACCTGTGCTGTGAAACACACACATTAAGCCCCTGCATGGGGGCGGTAGTTTTTGTGTCTCCCAGAGCTTTGACACGTCTGCACCTCAGCTAAAACTTAATTGTCATGTAACTCGTAATTTGACTGTTAACTAGACTGCTGCTTGCTTTTATGCTTTATAGGGAGAGCAATGTAACAGCGTATAATGACGTATGTTTATGGTTTATAATTAAGCAGCTTGTTTCCCAGTTATCGTAGATGTCTGCCTTTTTTTTCATTCAGATCGCAGTCGCGTATTGATCAGTTAAACAAGCGTGAGGGGGAATATGTTAATGTCACAGACATAATGCTGACAGAAAGAGACTAATGCTGAAAGAAAAAGAAAGGGCAAAATGTTCTGGAGTGACGGTGGAAGATCGGGTCCTGCTGAAGTAGGAGCACCATTTTCAGTAAGCAAGCACGGTAACAATGTGGCATTTAAGTCACCGAGTGGAACTACACACTCGAGGAACACTACATTTATTTACACCGAGACCACTGCCCCACAATCTGCCCCCAAAGCACAGCTAACCAGGGCTGAAGGCGAGGAAATTAGAATCTAGAGATGTGGCAGAAATCACCACAAGAACCAAACTTCAGACTTGGTAAAGGTCATGGTAAAATAAGTGCATTGGTGGCAAACATGAGGTCCAGGAGGCCAGAAGTGACCCAGCAGACTCCCAATTTGGATCTCTGGACCATCTGAACAAGTAAAGGAGGGCGTAACTCTTGAACCAAGTTTTATAGCTTTTCTTCCTGATAAGGTCCTCCCATATGTTTATTCATTGTGTACCTAAGCTCTTAAGTGACAGAAATGTGCCTGTTTTTTTTTTTGTTGTTGTTTGTTTGTTTTTTACATTTTATTACTGTCTTCTATAGATGGTTCAGTGTTTTGTTTTGTTTTTCCTTCTTACAATGGGACTACAGTACAAATCAATAACATGTTTTCTATGACTTGATAAAACATCTATAATTGCAGGAGCTACCATTTTTTTTCTGTAATTATACAAATGTATTTCTCACAGTTTAAGCCCAAAAAGTCCTGCTGACAGATTTTTCATTTACTACAGCAGCATTTCCTTATCACGCAGAAAGGTTTATGGATGCTGTCGAATTATTAACATATCTCAGAGATTAAAAGTGTAGTTAAACTTCTTTACACTGACAAAAAGAAAAGTTTCACTGATGGAAGTGGGCTGTGTGCAGCCCACGATGTAAAATGAGTTTGACCTTCCTGCACTAAAGTAAGGGGTGAAAGTTAAAGGGGAAAAAAATAGTTATAACGAAGGGAAATGTTTAAAAATGAAATGTTACACCTATTTCAGTTTTTAAAAGGATTTAGGATTTTCAGAAGACTTGGGTATAACAGTATTTTGTTATGAGAGAATATAATAATTTTGAGGAGTACTCGAGTATGAGAATATACTGATAAGGCAATCAATTGCTGAGAGGGGTACATAGAGTGAGTGAGCATGGGAACAAAGTGTATATGATGAGTTGTCAGCGTAATCCTGTTTAATGAAACCAGATTATATTTGCAAGCCGTCTGCCAGCCAGTGAATAGCCAAAAGCATTGCCAGTTGTTATTTGAAAATACTCAGGCTTTGTAGGATATCTTTCTTTTTTTTTGCTAAACATGTGCAAGACTTGGTAGATGTTGCTTCAGGTAAAACTCAGATGTCTGGTTTACCCTGTTATATAATATCAGCATCTTTTATTATTGAACAGATTAGATAGGCAGTGGATTAGCCAGTCAAGCAGACTTATTGTCAGCATTTTTTATTTTTTACAGCTCATTAATCTTCATGACCTTTATTAATGTGTAACAAGGAAACAAAGGCAGGGTTGTATTTAAATACATAGGCATGTCTGGTCTGCATACAGTAAAGGCATTTGGTGTTTATTTGCTACTGTATCTGACAGAAAATGATGCATTTTTTCTGATAAAGAAAACAGATGATATGCTTGTTTTGAAGTGGTTTACTCAGTGGTTGGGAATTTCCGTTGGTTCTGGCTAAAACGTCTGGGGAGGGCGGATCAGTGTATACCCTAAATGGCATTCACTGATTCACTGGTTTCAGCTTCTCAAATATCATAATACTCATACTTTTCTTTTATTAGTAAACTAATCAGTTGGAAAAACAAAAAACAATTCCACTTACTTTGTCCTATTTCCATTAATATTTATGAAAGTGTTAATCTTTAAAAATGGGTACCAAAAGTGCAATGAATGACATTATAAATGGTTAAATGATGACCTGATATGGCGGAGCACTGCAGTTTAAACAATACATTTTGTGTTCACTGATGGTAATTACTACATAAATCTATTAAGTTTGTTTGAGGTTGTGGAGAGAAGCTATAAGAATCATTGTGATTGCTGCTTGGTGCATGTTGGGCAGGGGTCTAGTTTGATGCTGTCTCTGTGCCGTGGTCAAAGATAAAAACGTGAAAACAAAGAAGCTGTAGGGGTTTCATGATTGTAAAATGGTGTGGCTAAATTACCTGCAGTAGCCTCCCACATTGTGCATACTTACTGCCAGATGCAGCAGAAAATCAGGTGAATATTTGATAATTCATTAATGCTTTAATTTGAATTCACAATAAAATGTTAGATTCATTCTTCCTGTGAACAAAAAGCATTTAAAAAGTTACATTTATAACATTTTTCATATAAACTTTTACAGTTTGTCAGCAGTAACTCGTGGTTTGATGAATATTTGGTTGAATTTTGACCTCTTACTGCAGCTTTTTTCTGTGTGTGTTTCATGGCTGCAGCCTGTGGAGCAGGTTCAGGTCCTTTAAAGTTCATCATCTAAACATTTCCTCTGATTGCTGTCCAGCCTTTGGATATGTTGGTTCAGTTTCACAAATTAAACCTGCCCTCTATAATAGAATACAAAAATAAAGTGATACTCCAGTGAGACTGTGTGATTTCAGTGTGGGAAACAGATGATGGGTATTGGTGGCATTTAATTAGTTGCTTAGCAACATGAAGTTGGGTTGATGAGTATTAATTCTCAGGGGTTTGTATTAGTATTTTTGTTCCAGTAGTTGTCTTTAAGATGATCCTCTGCAATTTTGTTTCAGTGTGAGTCATCATGGCGAGTCCAAGGACCAGAAGAGTTCTGAAGGAAGTGAGAACTCAGGATGAGAATAATGTAAGTCCTTAAAGCTTCTGATCCATGTGGCTTAACTTCAGTTCTTAACCAAAATAATCTCAGCCCACCGGAACGTTTTTATTCTACTTTACAGAGAAGATAGCAGCTCCTTGAGAGGTTGCACTTTTGCATTATCGTCCTCTAAATGGCCCCAAATAAATGAATCACAAGAGGGCACACATTCTAGTTTAATTAGAGAAGGTTATTTCTAATATTCAGATCACACATTAGGAAAAACTGTATCATAGAGTTTGTTTGTAAGAACATTAGTTGGCTTTTTGCTGGAGAAAATCAAATGAAGAACTCCAGGGTATATCATTGAATATGAAGTGTGTTGTTGTTGTTGTTTTTTTACCTGCTTATATTCATCTGTTTTTTTTTTTTGGTTTTTTTTCAGCTGTGTTTTGAGTGTGGAGCTTTTAACCCTCAGTGGGTTAGTGTGACATATGGCATCTGGATTTGTCTCGAGTGCTCTGGCAAGCACAGGGGCCTGGGAGTACATCTCAGGTAACAATGTGATGAGTCATGGTGTCTCTTAACTTTAGTCACATTTTTGTGACATTTGGCAAACTACAAAGACATGTTAAACTTTGAGATAAGTTTACTATAGTAAAATAACATACAGTTATTAGTCAAAAAAATACATTTTAATCAAATGCTCTAGTGTATATATGGATTGGTTTTGTGAATATGTTACATTATTGGAAGAACATTGTTTACAAGCAACAGTCCAGAGTAGTCTGTGTATTCCTTCAAATGATCACAAAGAAATTGTTACAGCCTGATAATATGCAGTTTTATCTTTCCTTCCCCGTCTGCAGTTTTGTGCGCTCGGTCACCATGGACAAGTGGAAAGATATTGAACTGGAGAAAATGAAAGCAGGTGGAAATGGAAAATTCCGCTTGTTTCTTGAATTGCAAGATGATTATGATCCAAACTGGACTCTGCAGGAGAAATACAACAGCAGAGCTGCTGCACTCTTCAGGGACAAGGTAAGCTTCACACTCAGTTCTTAATTATTCCTGATGCTTTTTTTCTTCCAGTAACCCACTCACAGAGGACCGGATAAAACATAATGGAATAGAATAGCCCTTTAATGTCATTGTACATGTACAACGAAATTGTGGTTTAAATTATAAATGTATATCCTCAGTAATGAGATATATTTAGCTTGATATGTTTAGATATAATGCTTTCCAGTTTGCGCTAACATCTTCACCCTTGTTCATCACTGCATTGACAGGTCGCAACATTAGCAGAGGGAAAGGAGTGGTCCATTGAGACCTCCCCTGCAAGAAACTGGACGTCCCCTCAACCCAAAAGCACTCTTTCATCCTCTCATCGGTATGAATGAAGGATATTTTAAACTTACTAATGCTGGGTCTGATACTAGATAGAGAACAGCAGGCATCAAAACAGCAAATTGATATTTCTGTAATGTAAAATTTAGTTCTGGAGGATCTGGACAGAACTCGGCGAAATCCAGTGATAAAGCTTTTGAAGACTGGCTGAGTGATGATGTTAACTCTTATCAGAGGTAGGTTTCTAAAGTTTTCTATAAACATTAATATGGCAGCAAATGACTATTTGCTATGCAGAGATACATAGTGTATATCAGTGACATCTTTGGCAGAGAATAAGGTGTCATTCCTGTAATTATTGGTGTAACTTCATTTGCGCATACAAGGAAAAACATGAACGTTAAAGCTATATCGCAAACTACAGTGTGGAGACTTTGAGAGATAATTCATAATTATTTAAAAATGCCAGCTTGACTTCATATTTATGACTGTATCTTGATTTATTGTCTCTCATGTACACAACCTTTCTGGAAATGGATAAAATCCAAAGTAATGAGTGACGTTTGAAATGTTGTTGCCCTTGTCTAATATCTGAAATTTTGCTAATTGTACATTTAAGTTTCCTTTATGAATCTTTGTTCTATTGGCTTGTGTACATTCAAAATAAAAAAAATCTTTCCTGCTTTTTCAGTGGAGGTGGTTACAGTGGGAATCAAGAGAACCGGTACGTTGGATTTGGCAACACAGTGACCCCAGAGAAGAAAGAAGAGGACTTCCTGAACAATGCCATGTCCTCTATTTATTCAGTAAGTCAAGACACACTTTTTTGGGGGGGTGGGCTGAACTGTATTTTAATTTTTTTTCTTTCTTAATATAACTTAACTTTTAAACATTTTATTAACAGGGTTGGAGCAGTTTTACTGTTGGAGCTAGCAAGTTTGCCTCTATTGCCAAAGATAATGTAAGTGACTTCAAACAAAGGTTAACTCATTCAATTTAATAATAAACTGAATAGGAAATGTATTCATTTTGTTTTTCTCAATGTGATACCAAAATCAACAAAAGCAGGCATTTTTGCATAAGCTTATTGAGAGCAAGATGTCTACACTATTTTAAGTGAGGTGTTTGTATTGTAATAGCTGGGCTCTACCCTGGGTTGTCTTAACCTGATTGCTGATGTCAGGTTAAGTGGTCACACATGGCTGGATGGCAAACTATAATTCTGGAAAAACATGAAGAGGCAGAAATTAACACAGCTCCTGCAGAAAAAGCAGTGGTTTGAGTGAAAGTAAGAGGAAATGCACTGTGTGAAAGTGTTTATTTAAATGTTTTGATCAGTTAGACTGGAAAAAATTACTATGAAGGTTAAACTATTTGAAGGCATTGAAGGAAAGCCATCAACAGCGCTGACTGCCTAAGAAGTTAACACACTTATCAGTATCACAACTTTATCATTAAGACACTGCCCATTGTAATCTGATAGATTATTCTATTAAATTAATGGTTAAATGTGCATGTGACAGTTTTAGTTTTAATCATTTTCAGCTGTGTAAACCCATTGGTGTGTAATTGTCAGAGAAAAACAAACGAACCAAAAAAACAAAACAAAAGTATAACTTTAGAGCCTCCTACTGTCTGCCTATTGAAGTCCAAAAGACCTGCCAGGATTAGTGATGCTATTTCCTGGAGAAGTGATTGGCCAGTAGGATTTCATACCTGTTGACCTCTAATCTGAAACCCAACCTGCTCTGAGGCAGGTTAGGTCTGCAGCCTAAGTTACTATGGTGATATACCCTAGAAAGAAGTTAACCCTCCTTCCCCAGGGTTAACCCTGAACTTGCCTGGATAAAACAAAAACCTGCTTTGCAGTACAGGCCTCTGTACTGAACATCTTAAATCTGGCCCTGAGAAATAGAGTCCATAGCATAATAATTTAGCAAGAGTAAAAATGAACATTTTTCCAACTAACAGAACATTTTAAAAGCTAAACCAAAACAAGCCAGTACACTCTGGACATTACCGGAAACTAATAATGCCAAAAAATTAAAAACTGAAAATAGAAAAACTATAAATCTGATCCACACAAAGATGTTTTATTTTCATAGAATTTATGTTGGGCATTTAACTTGTGTATTTAAAAAAACAAAACTTTAAATGGTGATTATTTTTGTCCCTCTCATGCAGACAACTAAACTTGCAAACCAAGCAACCTTAAAGGTAAGTCTATCGCATCTCGAGTAGCCAGTTATTGCTCCTGTTAATAAAGGTTTTTGACTCTTCTACAGACTGTATTAAGTAGTCTCCTCTTTCTTTTGATGGTATAAGCATGCGTATGCCATTTGCTTGTAAATATTTTAATAATATAAACCTACAAGCAATAACTGTATTACTACTTTACTATCTCTTTGCCTTCTGTGGATCTAGTTAAGGGGCTATAAAGCGCCCCCAGAACCGGTAAAGCAGTTTGTAAATGCATGGTGCTTCTTTTATATCTTTTTTTTTTTTTTTAATATGTATCTACCATTTTTGTTTTTTCAGAATTATTGTCTGCTTTTTAGTTATTTTTTTTTAACACTTTTAAAGAAACCTTTAACAAAAAATGTTGTCAGAATTGTCGTCTCCATGTGCTTCTGTTTGGTTAAACACAAGGCATTTTGTCTCTTCTCATATTTGAATTTGGAATATATGGATAACCTTTAGGACAAATGGAATAGGAGTGAACAGAAGCACTGTTCACTCACATCCACTGATTATGGGTTATCCTTTTTATGCATGCCAGTGTTTGTGTTTACTGCTAACAGCGCTGAAGAGGGACAATGGTATGCAAACACCTGATTGGTTTCTGTGAAAAAACGTGGGGAGTCCTTGATGCTATTCTGTAGAATTGAACACACAGAGTAAGAAGCAAAAATATCGTAATATTTGGGGTTATAGATGTGCCATGCTGCCAGTGTCTTGAACCATTACACCCTCTAGTGCTTGTTCAGTGTCATGGTGGATGGGAATGCTCAGGCTGCATGCTACTGCAGAACAAGCAGCTCAGTGTCTTGCAGTACTGTGAATGTTAAACTGTTTCATTCAAGTGAACTCTCCTCTCTGACTTCCAACTAGGCCACTGAGTTAGGACAGACATTAAATGAGAATGTTATCAAACCTACTCAAGAAAAGGTAACATTGATGTTTGAAGTTGTTCATTTGGTGGTGGGATGCAGTGCTTTTAGACACGAAACAGCTTCAGATGTGAATGTGCTATTTTCTCCGCTGCCTGTCTGTGCCAGTTTATCTGCTGTATGCCAACTAACATTAAACGACAGACCTGTAGTTTCAAAGATGGAAGGGGGGGGTAAACACAAAGCTTTGTCTCTCTCTCTGTCAGTGACTCAGCTGTGGGATTTGCAGAAGCGTACGACTGTGAGCTGTTTATTTGGGAACGTGTGTGAGTCAGTGTGAACTGTCACTGGATCAAGCCTATAGCACAAACATTTTTAACAGCCAAACTCTTTGTTCACGTCATGTCTGAGTTCAAAGTCTCCAGCTTTCAGTGCACAAAATGACATCACGACTATTCTACTAGGTTTTGGTGTTGCTTTACTGGAGCCATTTTTATGTTCTTGAATCAGTGACAGCCGCAGTGAATTCCCTATAAACAGACAGCAGCATGCATAGATTCTGTAGGCAACAGACTATTTATTTATTTATTTTGTACCATAAGCTTCCTGAAAATTCGTGGCTTGTTTTCTGAGTGCTGTTAAGGCTCAAAGCTGTTACGCTTGAGCTGGTTTTGGTTGCATTCAGGTCAAAATGCAATCTCAAAACCACCGGCTGTCTGCTCACAGTAAACAAGACGTGATGCATCCTGGAGCTCTTCATTTGAAAGCCACAGCTCGTTACCTTTGGGGATTTGGTGTGTCTGAGCTTTGTTGTTGTTGTTTTTTTTCTCTTTCTTTTGACATCATGTAATATTAGAACACATGTTACCATTTTTGCAGTAATAGTAAGTGTTTTTGACACAATGCTTCTGCTTAGCAGATTTAACTGCCAAGTGAGCAGCTCCTGGATGTCATCTTTTTAAAAAAAAAAAAAAGAAAAGAAAAGAAAACAAAAGTATTTTTCCTTTTTTTTTAAATTTTTTTTTTTTTAATTCAATTCCAGCATCAGCAGGGTAATTGACTTTTCAATCTTAACTGTTACACATAGAAGGGTGCCTCTTTTTACCATGCTTTGTAGTGATTTATTCTCTTTGAGTGGACCGACAGAAACAAAATGCTTTTGTCTTTTAATGTAGTGTTGGCAATATTAATTTAATGTATCTGTAGTCTGTGCTTTTTTTTTAAACACTCTTTACTGTCTTTCTTCTTCTTCCTCTTCTTTTAAATCATCTGTGCTGTTTAAAAAAATAAACAAAAAAACTGTATTGTTTTTTTTCCACAATCAAAAATGAGCTCTTCACCACGCATTTCATTAGACTGTTGTTTTTATTAGTTTTTAACAATAATTTGGCTCGTCCAGGTGAAAGATGGCAAATTGCTAGATGAAATGGCAGTCAGCATCACTGGGCTGGCAAACAAGGTAGGAATGGCAGACATCTGCCACACTGTGCTGATGCAAAACCAGTCTCCCAAGTGAGGAGCAGTAGCCCTGGCACTGCTATTGCAAACAGTATCCAAAACTGCCGGAGCCCCCCGATACACTATACGCTCTAGTCCTCCAAGGAGACTGGTTTTGCAGTGCCGTTAAATTTGAACTATACTAATTACATTTAATTTCTTGTTTTTCTTGCTGCCATTTTGTTGTGGTGGTGAGTACATGATGTAAAAGAGTTAGAAAATGTGTTTTTGTGTCATTTTAATATTACTGCCTTGCTAAAATGAATTTGTTTGATTGTGTAGTAAAAACTGATTTGTCGTAATGGACTTGTTAGGACTTATTATTTTTTATTACGTTATTCTTTGACCTTTGAATGAATGAAAAATAAGGTATTTTACATGTACAGGTACACTTACATAAATAGTTTATTTCCTCCTTAGGTTCAGGGAGCTGGGTCAAAGCTGACTAATCTGTTCTCTGGAAAACAAGAAGATGGGTAATAAAAAAAAAAAAGCTTAATACACAATAAATGAAATGTTTCATATTCAGAATCCTAAGCACTTTGTGATGCAATGCTGTAAGCTATGGCCTGTAAAAGCATTTCTTTATGTTCAGGTCTGCTGGTGAGAGCTACCAAAACATGGATGCCACTGAGGGATATCAGGGTAGTTCTAGCCAGCCTGTTGCAAGGGACTTCTGGGAGACCTTTGGCAGCAACAGCTCCTTAAAGGCTAAGAAATCTCCCAGCAGTGACAGCTGGACCATTGCAGATAATTCTGCCAAGAAGAGCTCTGACAGTTGGGACAATTGGGGCTCTGAAGCAGCATCCAACAACAAACACAGCACAGAAGAGAGCTGGGAGGCTTGGGACAACAACTGGGAGAATGCAGATGGTAAGACAAAGAAGAGTCCCACGAAACCTGCTGAGGAAACCTGGGAGAACGCAGACTGGTAGTGACCTCACAAATCTACATCTTCTTACCTTTTTTCCTACTCTGGCATTTTTCCCTCTGACTCTCTCTGTTCATCTCAACGGCACTTACAGGGAAAGCTCCATTAGCTTTGATCCTGTTAATGCATTTAAAATATATTTATTATCCTAGAAGCAAAAGAATGAAGCCCAGGGATGAGTTGAGCTCATCATGAGACGACTATTCATAACTTTACTGAATATCAGTCCTGTATATTATTGTAAATCGTCCTTATTAAAGGGAATTGAGCTAAATCAGACCATAATGTACTGCCTGGACCTAATACTCTTAAAGGTTAAGAAGCCAGTGTTCATACTGGATCGCAGGTTTAATTTCCGTATTAAAAAAACAAAGCATGAAAGAGAAAATCTGATGTTGTAAATTTGAACCCTTGTAAATACAGTATCACCATCTAAACACTAACAACTTTATGTTCTGTGTTTAATCAGGTTTGGCCCCTTAAACATTTTCATCTCTGTTTTGTAAAATGGATCAAAAATACTTTTTCACATAATAAAGTTCATTCCACCTCGTGTTTACCATTAATCAAAATCTCTTTGGTCACGTACAGTTTAAATAAAATGATCTGATGTATAATGAGTTGAGAATAAATCTCCCTCATGGTATTAATTGATTTCATTTTAATGAGCAAGTAGCTTTTTTTTCCCTTTCTTTCCATCTTCCCAGTAGAGACCTGCAGATACAACACTGTCATGTTATCTGCACCAGCAAAAGTGCAGATAGGCGAAGGCAACAGAACGCTTTGAAGTTTGGCATGTCTAAAAGTTAGTAACTGCCATTCTGCTAAAACGGCTGCTTTAGGGTAAATCCAACTTGAAATCAAATTTTCATTGAATTTGACCCCCGTTTTGCATTTGCGAGCTTTTTAAGCCCTTTGATTGGTTGGATGAGTTAACTTTCAGTCAGCACAACCTGTCTGTAGGCCCAATTCACACTAAAATGTTCTTTTAAGCACATCCAACATCATATTTTATTTTATTTTTTGTTACACATCCTTTCAAGTAGTGTTGCTTTATGTTGCAACATTGTTTTTTTTATTTGCTTCACTGCTTAAATTAAACTGCTAAATAAATATGCCCGGAATACCTGCCAATGCTAGAATAGAATGGGGGTGGTATTGCAATATTGTGTGTTTTTCCTCTCATTCTGACCTCAGAGCTGTTTGAAGTGACTTGAAACAGAATGAACTTTCCCATTAGAGTTCATGCAATCAGATCTGGCTGCATTCACTTGCAATGTGGTTTAGACTGGGCTCAGGTTGGACCAGGTGTTTTGATCAAGTTCTCTTATTAATGAATGAATAAATAAGAGTAATCACTCATATTATTAAACAAAAGAAAATGTATTTAAAGATTTCTAGTTTTGTTTTCAAGAGACATATTGTGAAATTTTTAATAAGTCATGTCTAAAGATGATATACAGTTTATTGTAGATAATTTCACACGAGAGGTCCTCTTTGCTGGTTATACTCTGTGTACTGTATGCAAGGGTGATGGTTGTGTGTCATTAATTGGACACAAGTTTGGATTTTTAGACTGTTTTATTATCAGCTCGTGACCATAGCTGGTGACAGGTCATTGTAGATTTTATCTCATACGAAGCATCTCTGTGTCGAGTGTTGTTGCACTGTGGTCGTTGTTTATATTACGAAGATTCTGTGTCACCGATATCTCTACACTGTATTAACATCTGAATTGCGGGGTAATGCTAATGAGGCTCATTATATGCTGGATGCTTTGATGGTCATAGCTCTCAAATGCTTGTTATGAATTAATTTAATCAACCTAGTGCATCCCTCGGTCAGATTAAATGGCAGCTGTGCTCACGTTGTTCATCAGAGATGCAAATGCATTTTTGAAAAGTTCATGGTTACAACAAGCGGAAATGTAATCAGTGTAAAATTGGGCTCTAGTAAGGTGTCTGGGTTGAAGTATAGGGCAATTTTGCATCAGCTAATTTCTTATGTGGCCTTTCATTTCCTGTAACCCTGTAAATTTGTTGCTTTTCATGCAAAAAATCTCCTCATACAACACTAGTTTAATGTCACTAAACCAATTACAACTTCAGGTTTTGCTAATATCAAAAGTAACATGATTGATTTGCATTTCCTGGTGCTTTTATTGGCCAATAGTTTACTTCTGCAGACAGTCCTCATTGGACACGAACACTTAGCTGATTGATTATTGAAGAATAAATGCTCCATTACCATTTTCCTACCTCTAAGAAGTCTTTGCTTTACTGCCTGGGTTAATTTAGTGAACATGTTTTATTTTATTTTTCTTCATTCTTTAGCACTGTTTTATTGTAGACCTTATCACCACTGGTAGTGTAACAGTAAAGCAGCAAATATGAGTCTACAGTGTCAGTCTGTTTTCAGTGATAATGCGGTGCTGTAAAGAAAAAAAAAATTTAATAATCACTCCTGGAAGATTTGTGTTGCTAAACCTCTGCAGTCGTGTTCATGTCTGGTCATGTGATCAAAGCCTTAAACAGCTGTGTTTGCTTTCTGTTGATACTGGTGCCACTTTACTTGTGTATATGTCAGATAATGTCAAATGATTCACTGTTACCCTCAACTTTTCCCTGTATTACTGAAGTATGTCAACTGTTTTATTATTATTTTTAACTTTATTATGGCATAAAACTGACTGCCAGTAAATGGATAAATTCTTTTTGATCTGCTCTCACTGTATCTAAACTGTTTAGTCCTGATATACCATAGTTTTTCTTTTAGTGAATCTCTTGCTGGGGTTACTAGTAATTGATTTTTGGATGATTTGCAGAATTTGTTTGTTATCAAAATGCATTTAAATGACTTAAAATATATTTTTCTCTTTTTTTTAAAAGAACTGATTGTATTTTTTGCCACATGAAGTGAGTCAAATTCTGAACTTTCCAGAGCAGCAGTTCTGCTCATTTTCTGTGCCTGTGGATAACTTGAGAATGGGTATGTCTGTGTTTGTTGACTAAACTAATAATTATGTCAGAAATTGATGTCATGCATGAGATGTTATGTGATGCTAAAAACATTCAGTTGTTTCCTAAGTGAATTTAAGTGCAGTCGTCTGCTTGACCCTTCAAGTTTCACCAGCAGACATCCTGAGGTGAGCCAGTGTTACCGTACCCCCTCCCCCAAGGCTCTGGATATTTCTCCTGTACACATGTTTCTGTGTAAAATTAAAGAAAAAAATGTGTTGTGAATGCTTTTGTGGTGCAGTCTTCTGTTGATTGTGTGGATAGATGGATGGACGGTAGTGGAGGTGACAGAGTTCAAGGAGGATCTTTGCACTGTCATGACAACTATGTTACCATCACATTTGTCCAGGTTGCTGCAGACACAGATGTGCTTTGAGCGGTCATGGGAGACATTCAAAACCGTGAAACAGCAGAAGCGTGAACATACATGGTGCACAAGAGGAACAGAGATCTAGGATTCCTCTACACTCGTAGAAAGACCTACAGCAAGAGAGTTCAACTCCTTGTCTGTGTGGTGTTTGCATGTTCTCACTTGTGCCTAGGTGGGTTATTTGAGGTTTTCCAGCTTCCTTCATTCCTCCAGAGACACAGATTTTAAGGTTAATTGGTGATTCTAAATTAGCTGAAGGTGAGGTGTATAAATCCTTGAAGTAAATGTGTGAATGTATAAAGTTTTCTGGTAAGATTAGAAGTGCTATATGAAAGCAAACATTACATTTGCACGTGCAATATAACTGAAATCAATGTAAAAATAAACTGATAGTTTAAAGAAATTAGGACACATTTACTCTGAGCTGACTGCTAAGATCAAAACAGATGGAAAAAGGAGTTGGTGAGGTCATAAGATTGTTAAAGCATCTGAGGTGCCTTCAGTGAGTGATGAAATGTGCAAATCCTGCCACTTTCTTACCACTGCTACTGAGTTTGCAATAAGCATCTTTTTTTATGTTTTGTGTTGGTTAATGTTGAATTAAAAAAATGATTTGATGATATAGCAGTGAGGATGGCATTTAAAGATTGTAGTACTTGTTTAAAGTAAATATCCCAACAATTCCAGAAAGTTCCTCCTATTTTCACTTTTAATGAAATCCATTTAAATCATTATGGCTGTTTTTTTTCCGTGTCTTGGGTAAAACAGGGCATGACGTTGTGTAAAAACAGATGGTCTTCTCCAAGAATAATTGGATCTTTTAGGTTTTAAAACATTCTCCCCGCTCTCTGAAACTACTATTAAAGATTTATAATGTATTTATTAAAGCCAGACCATTTATCCTTTTCTAAATTGATCTGTAATTAACCATTCGGTAGCTATCCGGACCACACAGTGAAATATGAACAGTATGTAAGGGTTAAAGTGAGACGCCAGATAGAGAGTGCACAAATGATGAGGAGCCTGCCTCATTTGCAGACGGTGACATGGTGTCCCGCCTACAAGGCGTGGAACCGCGTCTCCTTTTCACGAGGATTTCACTGGGGACAGAGGGAGATACCGAGAGCACCATCGATGGCCAGGACACGGGGTGAGTAGCACCAAGTATGACATTAGCAGATAAGTACCCCTCGTTAAAACCCTCCGGCGAAGCCGGTGAGCATCTTCTGCTCGGGTGACGGGCTGTATCCTGACTGCAATGGAGGAGGAGACGGGGACAGGCTGGGCTGGATGATTGAATAACACTAGCCGCCTTCTGAGGAATAACGGTGGTGCTCACTGTAATAGCGAGTAAGTTTGCTATTAATCTGAGGCAGAGAACAGCAACAGACGTTAGCTGCTGTTTAATTAAAGAAACGACACGATCATGAGTTGTGATTGATTACGCTAAACATCACAAGGTTGCAAATGCAGCCTTTCAATGCACCAGTCGGTGGGCTTCAGTTAACCACAGCTCTGATCCTGACTAATCGATCACCAACAATTACGCTTTAAACATTTTAAGTTTAAGTTTCTGATTAAACAAGCGTGGATGGTTATATTAATGATGGCTGAGAATGAGCTGCTAAGAAGACATCAGCCTTCTCAATTGCCAGAGGATGACTGTTATCGCACTCTGGGCTACCAGAAGATAAATTTGCCTTAATTGTTTTTTGTTTTTGTTTTTTTAAGAAAAATTACCAAGGCTGTTTTTTTTTCCTGAGACAGCAGCTATCGTATAACCAGAAGGGGCGCCACTGCGCACGATCAAGTAGGCAACTAGCTGTCATCAAAGTTAGGCGCTTCTCAGTTTTTCATGTGTGAACCCGTTTTTTAATGCCCACCGGCCTGGATGGGAGCCCCGAACCACATTTAAAACCACAGTAAAATGGCGTCAGAAACATCCGGGTCGCGGTGAGAAGTAGCTGGTGGCGCCGGGGGGATACAAAAAGTTGGGAGTCTTTTGAATTTAGGCTCCGACCACACTGTTGGGTTTCTTTTCAGGCTTGAGCTTCTTAGCAGTAGTTGCTAAGCTACCACCACAGCGCGTGCAGCCAAATAAAAAGCTCCCAGTGCGCGCGGCAGCCGCGAATCCAGTCACACCAGCCAGATGACAGGCCCGCAGAAAGTGGAAAGAAAATAGTTCCCATCGCTTTTCATCAGTATGTCTGCTCTGTGCACAGTCACCAGAAATGGACAAAACCAGAAGGTATTTTGAAATGTCGAGGAAGGAGAAACACAGGTGTAGTCACTGCATAGTCCTGTGGGATAAAGGGTATCGATCACAAGTAAATACAGTGCCAGTACTGCCGATACCGATACTTTTAACTTAGAAATGCAGCTTATGTAGGGAAGAGCAACGTGTCATCACTTATGAGGTGAATCACCATCAGTTTGCAAATTCTGAGCACATTTTAATCACCACTGTGATTTTTACTTTCTGCAATAATTAGTTAAAAAAAATAAAACACACTTCATTTTTTATGAGGACCTGTGATGTAAACGTGTCTGTTTCTAAAGGACTTTGGTTCAACTTCTGATGTCTAAATGTCCTATGGGCTATAAATAAAATAGATGTGACATTCGACACAAAAACCGTGACATATTTTGTAATATCCCCAAAATAATGTATTTAACACAGTTCAGCGGGCAAAATACTGAACATAGAGGTTAAAAACAAAGTATTGATGCTATTGTGCTATTATTAATTCAATACCAATACCAGTGTTGGTATTGATACTTTTTGGACCAAGCTGCCTACCTCTAGTGCACCTCTGGTTCGCTTGAATGACTAAGTTACGCAGATCTATAGACTATTCATAGAGAGCTTATTAATAACAATTGTCCACCAATGGAGATTATTTACTAAAAACACAAACCTTGTCTACAGAATATAATTGGATATGTTTAGTAAGAAAAGCACAAGGGATACCTGATTTTAAATTTTGGCTGAAAAAATGCATTGTAACTTCTTACATTTACAGAAATGTATCCTGAAATATGCCTGATATCAGTTGGTTAGTTACAGTAATCTTTGTCTTTCAGGGAACAAGCAAATAAGAACAAATATTACTCATTTTACTTTTACAAAATGATAAATGACTCTTTTACTAACCATTATTGCTCATGTTTCTGTTGTGTTTCATCACTGGCTGTGGTTTCAGTTTTTGACCTAGCTGTTTATTAACATAAATATCTAATTGGCCAATCACATTGCAGCATCTCCATGCAGTTAGACATGTATACATGGTCAAGATGAGCTGCTGAAGTTCAAACCAAGGATGAGAATGGGGAAGAAATGTGAACAACTTTGAGCGTTGTTGGTGTCAGACAGCCCATATGACACCAACAATGCTCAGAAACTGCTGATATACTGGAATTGTCCTACACAAAAATCTCTGGCAGCTTACAGAGAATGGCAGCTCTCTGGGTAAAAATGCTTTATTAAGTTTAGATGTGAGAGGAGAATGGCCAGACTGTTTTGAGCTGATAGGAAGGTAATAGTAACTTACTTACAACTCGTTAAAAGTACAGTAAAGATGCAGAATAATGTCTTTGAACGGCAACACAACATGTCAAACTTTCAAGCAGATGGGTTCTGGCAGCAGAAGACCACACTGAGTGCCCCTTCAGTCAGCTAAGGACAGAAAACTAACGCTACAATTCACACGAAAATTGAACAATTGAAGATGGGAAAACATTGCCTGGTCTGATAATTTCTGTTGCAACATTCAGGTCGTAGGGTCAGAAATGGCATAAACAACATGAAAGCCGGGATCCATCCTGCTGTGTATCAACAGTTCAAGCTGGTGTGATAGAATGAGAGATATTTTTTGCCTACTTGAGAATTGTTGGTGACCATGTCCATCACTTTATCACCACAGTGTATCCACATACTGATGACTGCTTCAAGCAGGATAAACTAGAAGCAGTTCAAGAAACCGGTTTCTTGAACATGAGAATGAGCCCACTTTACTCAAATGGCCTCCACAGTCTCAGTCCAATAGAGCACTTTTGAGATGTGGTCATAGATAACGTCAATATGCGGGCCACAAGTTTGAGACCCCTGGTTTATAGTAACAGATACTTTTTGTTTGTGCAGATATTTAGCCACATGTCATTGCTGAATAGGGCTGGAGGCTGGACTGGGACAAAAAATCATCCCTGGCCGATGGCATAAGTTTGATTATGGATATTGAAGCAGTCGTATTGCAGCATGTGACAATAATTAAAAGCTACGCTTTAGCTATTAGTAGTGGCTCATGGTCATTTTACCCGAATCCTTGAGTCTCTCCCTTTCTAAATATGTCCCTCTATGTATTTTCTTACCACATTAATTGAATTTTCCTTGTCTCTTCCTCACTTCTCCACAGCTGGTGCTAGCAGCAGTTAATTTGCTGTATCTATTATTAGTTAAGTGTGCCTATGCGAAGGCACACTTATTACTATTGCTCGGATTTATTATTATTATTAAGTGTGCCTATGCGAAGGCACACTTATTACTATTGCTCGGATTTATTATTATTATTATTATTATTATTCTTTTTCCGCCTGAAATTTTGGACCTTAACTCGCCCCACAGTTTTGAGACAAGGTTCACATATGATATATCATTGTGTGCGGCTGGAGCTGGAATGAGTTGCTATGACTTTTGGTGTTTATTACTTCTATAGTTTTTTAAATATGAATATTTTAATGCAAGTTTTTTCCCATTGAAATGAATGGAGAACAAGAAAACTTCATTTGTGGTGTGCTGGCTCACTCTAGTGGTATGTCGGGAGTAATGCGAGGCGGCCGCTGTGTCCCTGTGGTTGGCCTACTTGTCAGATATCGACAAATCCTACACTACAGACCAGTTGACAGCGTGCAATAACCCAGCCGATTCATTCGTCTTTACACTACCTCACAATCGACTCAACGGTGAGTTATTTGTTTGTTTTGTTTTCTCACAATTAATGTAAAGCCAAGGTATATATCAACGGCGCGCACAGCGGAAGTATGGCGTCCCGCTTGCCCTTCACAATAAGAGCATTATAGCGGATTATAATGGGGGACGCTTTTATTTTGTATAACTACCGGAAGTAGTTCCTGTGTACTGACGCTAGCTGGGTAGCTAGCGCCGCGTCGTTTAAAAAGCAGCCGGGCTTGTCTTAAACTTAAGAGGCTGACACTCGCTAAACCACCCGATCGCTCGCCAAGCGACTGTTTCACACTGGACTTATTTTTCGTTTATATGGGCCGATAATTCCTTTATTCTAGTGGTATGCCGGGAGTGGTGCGGCCTATTCGGATTAACGTAATGATGACACTATCAACGGCGCGCGTCAGTCCGCCCCTCCTCCAGTTTGAAATTGACCTTAGAAGACACCGTAGCGTATGCTGGACCCGCATGCATCTGTCCACCTCTCCTCCGTTTTGAAGTTGACATTTGAACGTCATTTTCTGAAGTATTCGGAACAACAGTGTAAGGTTTGACAAGGTAAGTGTATCTCTCTCTGTCCGGTTTGAAATTTAGCTTTGAAAGTGATTTTTTAATGTGTCTGGGTGATTCTTTGTCGTGGTCATGTTCGGCACATGCTAAAGCTAGTTAGCGGGTATTCAGCCGAGGTCTACAAAATGATGGTATTTACAAATGAGGTATCTACAAAATGATGGTGTGGTTAGCACTTGGATGTCACTTTATTCCAGAGGTATCGTTTGTAATTAAAACTTTTAAGAAGCGAAGTGATATTTTTTTTTTTTTGTATGTGTATCTTGGCGATCGCATTTCACGCCCTTTGTCTCGGTGGTGGCTAGCTAGCGGATATTGAGCATAGGTAAGCCTCTCCGGCTTGAAAATGACTTTGAAAGTGATTTTCTGTGTCTGGACGCTGATATCTACAAAATGATGGTGTGGTTAGCACTTGGATGTCACTTTATTCCAGAGGTATCGTTTGTAATTAAAACTTTTAAGTGGCGACTGTCGCCGCGTCCAAAACAATAGCTTCGTTGTAGCCGCGTTTCACACCTCTTTTTCTGTTTTTATAAGGCGTTAACTACAGCAGCCTTTAACACCTCAACTCTTGCTTCAGCCAAGGTAAGTGCCCCCCTTATATTTTCTATGTGTGTGTTCAGCTGATATCTAGAAAATTGGTGTGTTTAGCGCTGGATGCCATTTTATTCCAGAGCCGTTGTTTGTAATTAAAACAAAGAGACAAAGAGGAACTTTACTGTTTGGAAGGGAGTAAAGTTCCTCTTTGTCTCTCAGTGGGACATTTCAACCATACAGTACAAGGCTACATTTCAGCTTTACAAGCCAATCAGTTTGCTAATTGTTCTTGTGAGATTTGTTTGCAAAGTTTAAGGTGTTAAATAGGAGCTGTGACCATCTGGGTCTGCTTGCTGCTGGCACTTTGCCAGAGCCCCAGCAACAAGACCGCCTCCCAGCTACGAGACTGCCTGTAAGCCTTGCAAGGTACCCAATTTTCCAATTACTCTATAACAAAACTGTTGTGGGCAACAAGACTGTCTCCTAGGTGTGCAAGCCAATCACTTTGCCAAATGTTCTTGTAAGATTTGTTTGGAAAGTTTAAGGTGTTAAGTAGGAGCTGTGAACATCTGGGTTTGCTTGCTGCTGGCATTCTACCAGCGCCCCAGCAACAACACTGCCTCCCAGCTTTGCAAGGTAATTACTTTCCCAATTACTGTACACCAAAATGGAGTAGTTGTCGTGGTCAACAAATCTGCCTCCCAACTTTCAAGGTAATCACTTTCCCAATTACAATATACAAACTGTTATGGAACTTTACTTAACAAAGCCTTAAGACCGGGCAGTGACACTATCAATATGTCTATTTAAAGAAAAGAGAGATTTATTATTATTTTTTGGTTCTTGTAGTTATCTTGTGTATCAGAAGGTTAAAATAAAAAATTGCTGGTATACATCAGAATTTTTGATTCATTTACTGTTTGTCGATTTACTGCATTGTAAAGTCTTTTGGCTACCAATGCAGCTACCTGGTTATTATGCTTGACTTAAAATGAAAGCTGGGTCTGATCACATGCTTGAAATGCCAACAATTAATATTCTGTTTTTCTGCTGACATTCTACCAGATGCCGAGAAAAAATAAAAGATCCCAGGCACAAAAGAAGCGCTGGAAACCACTTGACCTGGTCGATCCTGCTGTCCCAATGCTCACTGGCCACAACCAAGATGAGGCAGTCAGTAGTTTTCCATCTGACCAGGTAAAGAAGATATAGTAGTGATCACAGACAGTTGAACAGTTTTCGAAACACGTTTGAGACAGTTAAGAACACCTACCCATACAGTTTAGGATTGTTTGTTATAATGTCACACAACTGGCATAACAGTGCATGGTATGCAGAGCATTTAAATGAAATGAATGTGTCAGGTCACTTAATGTCTTCTATAGGGATTTTCTTTTTTATTGCTCTGTAAGTTTAGTAACCACTACTGTTCAGTATCAAATATTCCATTCTGTTTCAAATCTGTTAGTAGGTTTTATAATTTTGACTAACTGTACATAACCTCTCATCAGATTTCAGACACACGTCCACTAGAAAAACGATCTGTTACCCAACTGGCATACCAGTTCATGCCATGCATTGCATTTTAGAGTGAAATTAATGTGTCAGGTCACTTAATGTCTTAACATTATATACTGTTTTTCCTGGGTTGGCAGACAGCACCAGCCAGGTTGTCCTTGGTAACGGAGAATAGACCCACCTCCTTATGTCCTCCAGGCAGCAAGGTAAATTTAAAAAAACGTCTTCCTCCATTAAGGATTTATAGTGGACAGTTACATTACCATTAAATGTTAAAGACATATGGTTACATGTTAGCATTATGAAAGCAAGAATTTTGTTGTATCCCCTTTGTTAGTTACGTAACCACTACTGTTCCATATTTTTGTTAAAGTTTCTAAAGTTACACTCACTTTCAAATCTCTTAGTAGTTATGATGCAAACAGCTGGGATTTTTTTTTATTGCTTTTTTATTTTTTATTGTAAGTTTAGTAATCACTACTGTTTCATGTTTTCTTTAAAGTATCCAGTGTTACACTCTGTTTCAACTCTGTTAGTAGGTTTTTATAATTTTGACTAACTGTATGTAACCCATTATCAGATTTCAGACACTCGTCCACCAGCAAAACGAGTCTGGGCAACTGATGATTTCCACACGGCATCAAATTCTCCACCTAAAAAGGTATGTCCACAAATGTCTATAACAAATTAGTATACATGCAATCTTTGCTGTATAATCACCGGGGTTGATATTAGGGCTGCCACAAACGATTATTTTGATAGTCGACTAGTCACCGATTATTTATGCGATTAGTCGACTAATCAGATCATCATCCATTGGACGTAAAACTACAGCTTATTGCACCAGCAGCATCTGCTCTTATATAACTATCATTAGCTTACAGCTTTAAGTGTTTCAGGTCTCTGCTAACTAAAAATAAAGACAAGATGATAGTTTATTAAATTTTAATGAAATTTGCAGATTGTTTCGGTGAAGTTTAATAAACTCCTTGCTATCTAAAATATAACAGGACACCGGAGTAAATTCTCCAGCATCTCACACTTCTGATAATCAGCTGTCTGCTTGACGTTTATTCAGCTGTGTAAATGTATGTGTATATATATATATATATATATATGTATGTGTATATATGTGTATATATATGTGTGTGTGTGTGTGTGTGTGTTCAGAAAAAAGTTTATACCATTTAATACTTAAAGCTTCTCATAAATTGACATCCACAGTGAAAAGCAATGCAAATAAATACAAACATGGCTTTGTGACACTCATCTTTTATCAAGATGGATGTCACTGTATTCTGTTTCAATCACATTTAACCTCTAACTGAATTTTGTGTCATTTCTTTACAAAATGTAACACAACTATGAAACGTGTTTTTATGGCACATGTACAGAACCATCTGGTTTAATCTGAAATCAGTGAACGAATTACATCTAATTTAAGAGCATCTGAGATCCTCTTACGAATAATACGTAAACAGGATTTCCTTTCATATATTTATATTTAGGCTGCAATTTAGTTGATGTTTGAAGGCCCGCAGCAACCTAAAATAATGTGTTATACTGAAAGAAATTAACTGCTTTGAAAATATGAGGAGCAGAAGGTACAGATATGACCTTCGTTAAAAAAAACAGCACTCAAGCAAATTACAGATATCTGAAATATTTGTCATTTTTACTTTCCACCTCTGCTCTCTCTCACTCACTCTCACTGTTCCTGTCACTGTCTTTCTGCCTTTCTCTTTCTGGCATATCTCATGCTGTTTATCTTCAGATTATGCTATACTATGATTGACGAGTGATATAATTTGGATTAATTTGCCTGCACATTGCTTAATTATTTTAACATAATTAAAAATGGTAAATGGCCTGTATTTGTATAGCGCTTTACTTAGTCTCCAAGGCTCCCAAAGCGCTTTACACTATGTTCAGTCGTTGACACTTAAAAAAATAAAAACACATTTTTCTACATTATTGCAGCAACACTTAAATGTATTTTATTGCTCAACCTTGAAACACATATCATAAAATGTTTAACAATAATATGTGTCACCTTTGCATTTCTTGATCAGCCTTTCCATGACACAAATGAAGACCTACTGACGGAGGAGCTACAGAGCAACACAGTTCAGCCGTTTTGGAGTGTCAGTGCAACTCATTGTCAGAGTGATGAGAGGTACACAGAATTCTCTCGAAATCATCAGTGCACATGTAATGCCCTCACATTCCTGGCCTACCTTAATGAGGAATACCAGTTCAACATAGCCATGCTTGATAAGGTCCTTGAACAGGGAGATGCACTCTACTGTTGGATTAAAACAAATCTTCTGCAGGAGAAGCGTTATACACAGGATCATCTGACCATGGAGGACCTGCCCAAAGAACTTCATACTGACACAAATGTCTACAGTGTGAAAATGGATGACATAAGTTATGGATTTCTGGAAGCAGCAGAGAACAGTCCTCAAAGAACAGAGTGGTGGTTGCCTCTTGCTATTCGCCTTGAATGTCTGTCAACAGATGTGAACTTTGCTTTGCTCATGGTCTCACCTGAGTGCATTGCGGTTTTCCGTGACAAATCTGGGAGGTATGGATTATTTGATTCACACTCAAGAAGTGCAGCGGGTTTACGTCAGCCAAATGGAACAGCAGTCATGCTCACTTTCACTCATGTGAATGACCTGATCACCCACCTGCATAACCTTTTTCAAAATCAAGGCAAGCATGCACGATATGAGTTTGTGCCTGTTTCTTTCAAAACAGTCAGCACTCACACGGAACCCCCTGGACAGTCAACTCAGGTAACACCAGGAGCTACAGCTACATCATCAACACAAAATGATGAACCACAAATCACGAATCCCACTGCGCAAATGCCTGAACCAGAATCAGCCAAAACCCACATGACGATGTTAGACAATACTTTAAACTCACCAGATGACAAAATGGCTAAAACCCCCCGAACAGCAAGAAATGTGAGCAAATTAAATAAACGACAACGTAAGAAAGCTATTCGTCAAGCTCAGAGGGAGTATGTAAAAGCTAAAGACAAATCTTCAACTGAAGAAGTGGCAAAGAAGACAAACAAAAGAAGACACGAAAGAGAACGATATGCCTCCTGTCGTGAATTTCGAATGAAAAAATTACAGGCTATGAAAACTCAATATGCTGAAAACTATCATTACCATAAACAAAGACTATTATCAGCCAAAAAATATTACGCAAATCCTCATATTCAAGAAAAAGTAAAAGCCTGCCAGGTGAAGAGATACCAAAGTGATCGTCATTTTCAACAAAAATGAGAGACTACATTATCAGAAGATATACTACGGATCCCGACTTTCAAATCAGACAGAAAAAATATGTGGTTCAGAAGTACAACACGGATACCAGCTTTAAAACCAGACAGAAGCAATATGTGGTTCAGAAGTACAACACGGATACCAGCTTTAAAACCAGACAGAAGCAATATCTGGTCCAAAGGTACAACACGGATACTGACTTTCAAACCAGACAGAAGCATATCTGGTCCAAAGGTACAACACGGATACTGACTTTCAAACCAGACAGAAGCAATACATAAGAACAAAATATGCATCTGATCCAAACTACAGGCACAAACAGAAAAAATCAATTTATGCCAGGTATCACAATGACTCACAATTCAGACTGCACCATATACAGCGCTGTGCCCAGTACCAGAGACACAAAATGGCTACCACTGCATCTTTTGCCATTTATAAAAAGTTGTGTGCACAGAGAATAAAGAAGAAATACAGACGACTAGTAACACAGTTCCAGCAGGGTCCACAGTCTGAAGCACAGCCCCAGCTTGTAGTGAACAGTGTGATGCAAGCAGCCACATTAGCTTTCCGTGAAGCCATTCAGTTAGGACCCACCCATGTCTGTACAGTGTGCCACAGAACTCTGTTTCCTAATCAAGTTAAACATTGCAAAAGATCAAAGTATGTTACTAATAGTAACATTGTTGCCACTTGCTTGACAGGAAAATTTGTCCATGTTTGTGACAGGGAATGCTCAGCTAATTGTACTTTCCCAAAACAAAGAATGGAAGAGTGGATTTGCTACAACTGTGACAACCACCTACAAAGAGGCAAGATGCCATCCGTCGCAGTAGCAAACAATTTAGCACTAGCAACCATTCCAATTGAACTGAGTCGATTAAATGTACTAGAACGACAACTGACTGCTAAAATTCTCCCGTTTGCAAAAATCATTGCATTACCAAAAGGACAGCAAAGAGCCGTACATGGGGCTGTTGTTGTGTACCATCGGATGTGGAAACCACAGTAAACTGTCTTCCCAGACCTAACAGTGAAGCCCAGCTCCTGCAGGTACAGCTGAAGAGACACATCAGATTCAAAGGTTACCAACACTTCTACACTGTAAACATGAAGAACGTGTTAGCAGGATTATCAAAGCTAAAAGAGATGCATTCAGAATACAAAGATGTATCTATTGATGATGAAGCTACTTTTGCTGATCCCACAAGTAATCAGATAATCGAGACGGAACATGACACTGCTGATGCAGATATTCAAGATGCACTGCCCAGAAACTTCGACCAGCAAATTGTACCAGAAAGAAGAACCACTGAGGATACAACAGCTGGACTGCTTGAGCCATGTCATGATGTAAACCAACTAATGGAGCCTGAACAGTCAAATGAACAGCCCTTACAAGATATGGAGAAAGAAAAGGAAGAACTTCGACCTGGTCTTGTTCTAGACACCTGTATGCAACCACCAGATATAGCACAGGACATTTTATCATATGGTGAAGGAATATTTAGCATTGCACCCGCGCAAGGAAATAGACCTGTTGGCTTCTTCTCTGTTCCTAAACTTGAAGCCATGGCCTTTCCTGTCCAGTTCCCAACTGGACAGAACACATTAGATGAAGCCAGACAAGTGAAACTTTACCCAAGCATGTATTTTAATACACGGCTGTTCTCTGCAGACACACGGTTTGCAACTGACCAAAGCTACCTATTCTTTGCACAGTTTGTAACAGAAACACACATGGCTACAAACAGCATGTCCATCCAATTGCGCAAAGGAAAGGCAATCACCAAGGATGGGCGTAAAATTTCTAACAGAATGCTTCAAAATAAAGACGAAGTGGAGAAACTGATAAATAACAAAGACGCAACACGCTTCATGAAACCTCTGAGAGGTACTCCAGCCTATTGGGAGAAGGCACTGAAAGACCTACATGCTATGGTCAGACAGTTAGGAAAGCCAACTTTTTTCCTGACATTTTCAGCTGCTGAAATGAGATGGCCTGAGGTTGTTGAGGTCATAAAAACTCAACAAGGTGAACAGGTGGATTTTTCACAACTTGACTGGAACACAAAGTGTGAAATTCTCCGAAGCAACCCTGTGACTGTGATGCGATTGTTTGAAAAAAGAGTCGATGCACTAATGACAACACTGATCCTGTCCCCAGCACAGCCCATCGGTGAAGTAGAAGATTACTTTTATCGAGTGGAGTTTCAGGCCAGAGGTAGCCCTCATATCCATTTACTGGTTTGGGTCAAAGATGCACCTGAATTTGGAAGCGACCTTGAAGACCACGTGTACAAATTTATTGACAAGTACATAACATGTAAGATGCCTGACCAAAATGCCGATCCTGAACTTCACAAAATTGTGTCTGAGGTTCAAGTCCACAGCAGAAATCACTCCAGATCCTGTAAAAAAGGTAATGTGTCATGTAGGTTTGGCTTCCCCAAACTACCCGTAGATCAAACAATGATCACTTTCCCAAGCCCAGATGATGATGATCACAATGATAAGCAGCATAGCACAAGTAAGGAGAAAGGCACAAATGAAAAGCAAAAGAACAGACGAATGGCTCTCGCAAAAAAAATGAAAGAGGCCAAAGAAAAACTCCAGCCATTGAGAGATTTGCTCTGCGACCCAAATTCCTCGTTTGAAGACTTGTCTGAGCTGCTTCACAAATGCAAATTAACTTATGAACAATACTTGGATTGTGTCTTCAATTTAACCAATAGTCATGTCATCCTCTTAAAGCGTGAACTAATGACTGCTGGGTGAATGCATACAATGCAGATCTGCTGAGGGCCTGGAATGCCAACATGGACATCCAATATGTCATTGATGACTACAGCTGCCTGATGTACATGATGTCTTATGTCTCTAAACCCGAATTTGAGATGACACAATTTCTTAATGGAGTCATCCAGGAAGTAAAAAAGTCCAGTGTCAATGAAAGAGATGAAATGAAACAGATAATGCAGGCATATGCTAAACACAGAGAAGTCAGTGCCCAAGAATCCGTAGCAAGGACATGCAGCCTGCCACTAAAAAAGTGTTCACGCAGTGTGGTCTTCATACAGACTGATGATGATGCCCTGAAAATGAGTCTCCCGATGAGCAGGTTGCAGAGCATGGCACCAGATGATGAAAATGTGTGGATGTCCGGATTGCCAGAAAAATATGCAAACAGACCCAGAACACCTGACTTTGAAAGAATGTGTTTGGGTGAATTTGCTTCAGAGTACAGGATTCTCTACGGCCGTCAAATAGAGTCCAAAAATGCATCCGTCTTTTGAATAACATGGGTTATATTCAAAAAAGAACAAAGGGAAACCTGCAATAATCAGATATCCTCGGTTCTCAGAAAAGAAACAACCAGAAAAGTTTTATAGCAGACTGCTAAAACTTTATTATCCACATCGATCAAATGATGACCTTAAAAACACAGAATACCCCACATCCGAGCAGTTCTACAAAAGTGGACGAAAACATGGTTATGCAGTACGGCCAATTGTTACCTTTAACAAAAAGCGATATGAAGGCCATGGCAAAACAATGGAAAGGGCACTGGAACAGATTGAACAACAAGGCCCACTTATCAATGCATGGAACACCTTTGCACCTGAGGTTGAAGTAGATCGTTTAGAGTGTGTGGCCCAACGGACAATCCAGACATGACACTGGCGAAAATGAAATGGACATTGTTCCTGACTACCAAGTCAGTGGTAGCAGCAGTGGAACCATGCCAGCAATCATAGCACCAAAGCTGAGCCCAGACTTTGTCAGAAAAATGTACCAAAGTCTGAATGAAACCCAAGCATCCATATTCTACGCAGTGCGTGAGTGGTGTTTCAAACTTGTGTGGGGTCACTGTCCTGAGCAGTTCTTTTATTTTGTCTTGGAGGAGCTGGCTGTGGAAAATCACATGTTATCAAGTGCATATATGAGGAGGCAACAAAGATTTTGCACCAACTCCCCAGATTCCGAGACCAAGCAGACATGTCCTACCCTGCAGTACTGCTGACTGCATTTACTGGCACTGCAGCTTTTAACATATCTGGGAAAACACTGCACTCTCTGCTAAAGCTGCCAAGATCTTTAAAACCGCCTTATCAGGGACTGGGGAATGCACTGGATGAAGTGAGAGCTTCACTTTCAAATGCAGAGATTCTGATCATTGATGAGATATCTATGGTTTCTAAAGACCTTTTTGCCTACATCCACTGGAGACTTCAGCAGATCAAAGGAAACAAGAAACCTTTTGGTGGGATGTCTATCCTTGCAGTAGGAGACTTTTACCAGCTGCCACCCTTGGAAAAGCCAAACCACTCTGTGTGTATGAGGACAATGTCCTTGATCTCTGGAAAGACTATTTCCACATGGTCAACCTGACAGAAATCATGCGACAGAAAGATGATCATTCTTTTGCTGAAGTTCTGAACAGGATAAGAGTGAAGCAAAAAACAGATTCTCTTGAAGCCGATGACAAAGCCTTGCTCACACAGGCTATCCATGACATAAAAGACTGTCCATCTAATGTATTACACATTTATGCTACAAACAAAGAGGTCGACAAACACAATTCAGCAACTGTAACTGCTCTTCATTCTGATATCATAAATATTCAGGCAGAAGACTACAGAAAAGACCCACGAACGGGTGACATGGTCCTCCTGCAGAAATGATGAAAGGCAACAAAGGAGATTTACCTGATAACATACAAGCTGCACCTGGAGTGCGTGTTATGATTATCAGAAATTTGGGATGTTGAAGATGGGCTTGTTAATGGGACATTTGGAACAATCACGAACATTGTGACAGCCACACAGGATGGACCAAAAACTGTGAATCTCATTGGACTCACGCTGGACAATGAAATTCTGGGCAAAAATTTCGCAGAAAAATACAAGGATCCTCAGACAATCTTGTGTATATTGAGAAATGTGAAGAATGCACAAGTAAAAAAGGAGTGGTTCGCAGGCAATTTCCAATGAAGTTGGCCTTTGCATGTACAGCTCACAAGTACAAGGCATGACAATGGAATCAGCAGTAGTATGCTTGAAGCGTGTTTTTGAACCTGGAATGGCCTATGTTGCACTCAGCCGCACAACCTCACTTAAAGGACTGTACATCACAGACTTTGATGAAAAGAAAATCTATGCTGATCCTGCCATCACAGATGCACTCAAAAATATGAGACATGCATCATTTGAG